ACAACCTTCGCAGGTGCTTCTTTGGTAGCTGTGCATAGATTTTGGCGTAGTATACCTAACCGTTTTTATTGTACGCTTCGGTGCTTCAAAGGTTTCGAAGAGAAACTTGGCCAGTAGTGATGAAAAACTGATAACTTTTCTCCTTCTCTTTCAAGAATCCACATAATAGTCCTATGACCTGCGCAGGAGGTTTTTTAGTAGGTTTGAATAAAATATTCAAAGCCACTTTTTCTGTAGGCTTGTGAAACAAGAATAATATGAATAACAAATGAATGAATTTGGAATTTTGTCTAACAATCGGAAAAACAACTTTTTTTGGCTATTATCAATATCTTAGCACCCTTAGCCATTGAGATAGAAGGTCTTGAGTGTTGTTGTAAGAACAAGTCTGCTTTTTAAGATGGTTTTTGCCCGTATTTTCTATTAAGATTTTTGTGAAAATTTTGGGCGAACCCTATCATGAACCACGATAGTGGTTCATGATAATCTAAATACTTTCGAAAATTGTATTACATCTGTTCTTCTAGTGAATAAAAGTATGAATTTATGTAATATCCTGGTTAGCTTTTAGTCTTAACGGGGAAAACGCTGTAAGGTAATTTCAACTACAAGTTTAACCACAAATAATTTCAAGTTAGGCCTAAATGTTGGAGCTTTAACTTATGGGGGTGGTGTTATAAGAGGACTTATAGTTGGTTTATTTGTTATTTAGCACAAAATTACACAATGGACTATCTGTGCTATACCCAGTGCGAGTATCGAACCCCAATTTTTAGCATTATAAGCCCACAGATTGACCGCTGAGCCACCTGGGAGAGGGGCGGAATTTATGGAGCGAACATTTATTTACACGTTCGCTTGGTAAATAGTAGGTATTTCGCAAAATCTTAATGTCTGATCACATGGAGGAACAAACCCCAAACTTGTACTTATTGTCGTTATTCATGTCACAGCAATAAATTATACTTCAGAACTATTTAGGCTTAAATAGATTAAGACATACGAAGCTTCACACACACAGTTCTTTCTCAAAGTAAATAAATTCATAAAGTTGAGCCAAAGATGATCAGAGCGAATTCTACATCCAGAATTCTAGATTTAAAATAAAAATCAAACTTGTGGGTGATAAACTTCCTTCCTTAGGTGGCGTTGACCTAGTTTCTTGGAGAACGAGTCCTCTCAACCAATCACATCAAGCGAAAACAGAGCGTAGGTGATAGCAAACAGTTAAACACTGAAATTGACAAGTCGTTATCTCTTCTGATTACAAAATAGTTCACGTGCTGTCATTTATCGAGATAACATCTTTATTTATACATATTTTTTTTTAAAATCGCACCTTATGAAAAGTGAAAGATTTTAAAACTACTAGGGTTTATACATTCTTCACTATTTGGTTATTGTTTCATTAACACTAATCTGTGTTATGCGTTTAGAGAAAAACCAAGACACAGCTTTATATGCATATCAAGAAATAATGCAAAACATTTTAATAAATCGTCACACTAAACTAACAGAGATGTTAGTTCAACATCTCAAGATGTTCTTGAGAAACATTTCTCGTACTTTCAATCTATAGAATTATACCGTTCAATATAAAAAAAAAGATAATTTGGTCCAATTGTACTTATCTGTGTAACGTCACAAGATCTTATAATAAATATTACAAGACTAATAAATTACCTCGAAATCCAGACATCTTAATTAGTGTAAAAGTGTTCAAGGATTTAATTCACGAATGAAATACAGCCAATAGCTGTTTTCAATCAGGTTTAGCGATTTGTTCATTTCGCCAAAAAATTTAAAACGTTAACTATGAATAAATGTTTGAAGCACGTGATGCAAAACGAACAGTTGTGATATGTAGGTATACTACGTGTTTTCTACTCATACAGTTCTAATATATAGTTCCATTTGCCCTATTTTTCTGGGTCATTTGCTTATGGTATCACGTGTGCCTCCTCATGGGAAATATTATTCTGTAAAGTTGAAAATTGGGTGTACAAGTAGATTGGACTTTTCTACTGGTCGGTCATGTGATACCTTGGGGTTAAATCTTCCTTTACTTTTCGATAATGTAAGAAATCGATACATTTCAAAATACCAACAATTTTGTTCTCTTTGTTTCAAAGTGGTAATTATGCACGCTTAATGACTGGTGTTTACCTGGTAATGACAGATTAGAATATTATAAGAATAATATTATTATGGAATATTATTATTTATGTATCTAAAAAATCTTCTTCACTTCCATAATGAACGTAGATTCATATTTAGATATTCATTCGGTAAATATGCTGATTTCTATAGAAAGTCACTTTCTGCC